GATATGCATAATATATTTGCAGTGCAAAAAAACCAAGTGGACACATTGTTTGTATACATAAACTGTTCTGTGAATTGCCTCTTCCCTCAATGATAACTGCTGATGAGGTTGTTCCATATTGAAGAAGATACAGGGTATAAAAAACATTGTACATAGGTTAATGATGCTTCAGTCCCCTTCAGAGTAGGCCCCTTGGGACCTCACATAGTTCTTCCAATTGCCATCAGCGGCCCCATCGTATTTTCCTGCATCTCATCTAGGGTCTGCAATCTCTTCCCTTTCAAAGGTGATTTGAGTTTTGGGAAAAGCCAGAAGTCTCAGGGTGCCAAATCTGGGCTGTAGGGGTGCTGAGTCACCTGGGTGATTTGATAGTTTGCCAAAAAACTGCACGAGACGTGATGCATGAGTGGGTATATTGTCATGATGAAGCTACTGTCACCAGTTGCACATAGCTGTGACCTTCTGAATCATCCAGATAGTTTCCCTGGAGGAATGTTTGAGTTTAACACCAAATCTTTTGCAGATTCATTGCTTTACTCAGTCATTTTGAATGCCATGGCTATGCAGTACATGTGCTCACTCAATGGCGTCTACCTCCCCTACTGACAAGTACAGTGAAGTCATCATTGTTCACACATGTGCATTCCAGTCCACTCTCCTTGGCTGCCAGGTTACATTGATGTTGCACTAACCATTCTCGTTATATTAACAATGATTGGACTTTTTCTGGCCAGACCTCGTATACCAGTTGGGTCTCTACTGTTGTGTTATTTTAATTTTGTTATCTTACATTTATTTTTTGAGAAATAAATGAATATATTTTTATGGTAAAACATTTAACTATACAAATACAGCAAAAGTCCCTCTTTAATTCCATGCCAGAGGTAACTTCTTTTACCAGTACGATGCACACTTGGTCCTTCCTGTTTTTAAAATAATATACATACACATAACATGTATATAGGTACCTGCCTCTTTATATCGTATTCCATAGTATGGATTCACCATTGCTTTTGGTGAGCATCCACATTGTTTTCATTACCTGACAATTATAAACCAATTAAATATTCCTGCATATGAATCTTTGTGTAGCTATTCAAATGTTATTTAGTGTCAGAAAAAAGATTGTTGGGTTGATGGGAATGTACATTTTTAATCTCAATGAGAACTGCCAAACGTCTTCCAAAAATTCTGTACGACTTTGATCTCTCACCATCGGTGGTTTTCTGTACCTTTAACAATACTGGGTGTTATAAGTCTTTTTTTTTAATTGTGTTCTCATAGATCTTACTGTATTTTCTCCTTTTATTGCTTCGGATTTTTATTGCCTATTTTTATTTTGGATGTTTGGCTTGCTTTCTTAGTGATTTGCAGGAGGTCTTTTTAAAAAATAAATATCCTCTTCTGTTTTATATGTAGTAAATGTTTTCTCCTCTCTTGTCTGGTTTATAGTGTAACTTATTACATAAAGTCTTTAATTTGTAAGTAGTCAAATTACTGTTCTTTATATCTTTTTGAATTTTGTGTTTTGCATAAGAAAAAGGCTTTACCAACTCAGGGCTTGTATACATATTTCTATAGTTAAATATTAGGGAAATTATTAAATTCTGTGGTCCCAAAGACACAGATATAGAATTTTATTATTCTTACTGATTTGGAATAGTGCCTGTATCCTAAGGTTAATTCTCAGACACATGTGGTTCTGTTCTGAACTCATTTCCATTGAATTGTCTACTCTACTGCCCATATTGTAGACTTTTCTTTTTACTTTTTTTAAAAGTATATTTTATTGATTATGCTGTTACAGTTGTCCCAGTTTTTCCCCCGTAATGCCCCCTCCGCCCTGCACCCCCAACCCTCCAGCATTCTTCCCCCTTAGTTCATGTCCATGGGTCGTGCATGTAAGTTCTTTGAATTCTCTGTTTTCTGTTCCATTTTTGTCCTCTCCCCTGTTTTATACCTACCAATTATGCTGCTTCTTCCCTGTACCTTTTCCTCCCTATTCGTCCCCCCTCCCTCCCCACTGAAAACGCTCCATGTGATGTCCATTTCTCTGATTCTGTTCCTGTTCTAGTTGTTTTAGTTTTTGTTTTCATTGGCTTTCTTTCTTTTCTTTAAATTTTATTTATTTATCTTTAGAAGGGAAGGGAAGGAGAGAGGGAGAGAAATATCAGTGTATGGTTGCCTCTTGTGCATCCCCTGCTGGGAACTGGCCTGCAACCCAGGCATGTACCCTGACTGGGAATTGAACCACAAACTTTTGTTTCTCAGGCCTGTGCTCAATCCACTGAGCTACACCAGCCAGGGTCTTAGGCCTTTTTCTTTTCTTTTTTTAGATTCATTTGTTGATAGTTGTGAGTTTGTTGTCATTTTACTGTTCATAGTTTTGATCTTCAATTTCTTAGATAAGTCCCTTTAACATTTCATATAATATGGGCTTGGTGATGATAAACTCCTTTAACTTGACCTTATCTGGGAAGCACTTTATCTGCCCTTCCATTCTAAATGATAGCTTTGCTAGACAGAGCAATCTTGGATGTAGGTCCTTGCCTTTCATGACTTTAAATACTTCTTTCCAGCCCCTTCTTGCCTGTAATGTTTCTTTTGAGAAATCAGCTGATAGTCTTATGATAGACTTTTAAACGACTGTACTTTTATAAAAATTTTGCTATTTGATGAAGAGCACTTCTACCCAGGTTAGTCCTCAAATTTTTTTTATGTATTTCCATATCCAGCAACATTTTATTTATACTGTATTATAAAATATCAATGCTACATAAATTATTCTTGGTATTTTGATAGTGGTTATGCTTAATTTTAAATTAACTTATGGGCAGTTTTACAGTACTGAGTCTTTTTGTCCAGAAATATGCTGTGCCTTTGTATTAATTCAGATCTCATATGACCGTTAGTCAAGTTCTGTGGTTGTCTGCTTAAAGGCCTTCTGCATTTCTTTTGTGTGTTTTTTTTCTTGTTTATTTTATGACACTTGGCCCAATGTTCCCCCCTCTGCCCAGCCCACCCTCCCTCCCACAGTCCATCCCCACACCATCGTCCATGTCCGTGGGTCATTCAGACACGTCCTTTGACTGGTCCCTTCCTCCCCCCTTCCCTCTGGCAGCTGTCAGTCTGCTCCCTGTTTCCACGTCTCTGGTTCTGTTCTGCTCATCAGTTAATTTTGTTCATTAGATTCCTCTTGTGAGTGAGATCATATCATGTTTGTCTCTCATTCTTGGCTTTTTATTGGGTTCATTGCTGTTGTGATTGGACTTTCTAATTATTGCTCATGTTATGCAGGCTTTTGATTTTTTATACGTTGATTTTTGTTGTTGTTGTGGAACACGGTGCTAAAATCTGTTAGTTCTGATAGTGTATCAGTTGATGCTGTTGATGTTCTAGAACATCTCTGCCCAATAGAAATATAAGGTGAGGCATAGGTGCCAAACCACATATGTGACTTTAAATTCTCTAGAAGTCATATTAAAAAAGTGAAAGAAACAGGTGAAATACACCTTAACAATACAGTTTAGTGCACTATATCCAAAATATCATTTTAACACGTAACCAATATTAAAAAATTAGTCACGGGGGAGGGATTTGGAGGAACAAATAGGAAGGACACAGGGACGAGAACTAAGGGGGGGGAGGAAATGGGAGGGAGGTGGGGAGCAAGGGGCAGGGGAGGCTGGGATGGGAAAAATAGACAAAAAACTGTACTTGAAAAAATAACTAAATAAAATTTAAAATTAAAAAAAAAAATTAGTCACAGATTTTAATTTTTTGTGTTGTCTTTGGAACTCCGTGTTTATTTTATACTTACAACACAATGCGATCTGGACCACACAGTCACATTCCCGGTGCCCAGAACACTCAGGGTGGCTAGTAGCTTCTGTGTTGGACTGTGCACAGACTGTTTTTTTTTCCTGGGGGGGGGTTGTTTTTTTTGTTTGTTTGTGGGTTTTTTTGGTCTTTTTGTTCTTTCCTTGTTATCTCTCACTTGTAGTACAGGCCGTACAGCGCTGATGTTGGTGGTGTTAATGGGAATTCTTCCAGTGTTTGGCCACAGTGGGTTTCTGATTAGGTAGACTAGGAAACCAAGTGGTTTCTTTTCCTTTTCTAGTTTGTAAGAATTCATTTTCTTTAAATTAAGACTAGGTTTTAAGTTTAATTTTAAAAAATTGGCATCTCTTGAAAAGACTGTACTTTCTTTTTTCCATCTTTTTAAAGTGAAGAGCGATTTGTAGTGGTTTTTTTTAAAGGTGAATCATCCTTGCATTTCAGCAACAAAACCTCCTTGATCATGGGTGTTTACACTTTTAACAAATTTCTACAAAATTTCACTTCCTTTTGTTTGATTTAGGCTATCTAAAAGTCTGTTAATTTTTCTATTTTGTTTTAATCGCAGTCTTCCTCCAGTTTCTGGATGAGGGTTTTTCTGGACTTGGGCAGCAAGTTGCCTGGGTGCCGGTCACGTGTGTGCTTTGAAACTGCTGTGTAATAGGAGAATTATCTGTATTTTGACAGTTTGTTAGGTGTAACTGTGAAGAATATTGGACTTGGTTTTTTTTTCAGGGTTAGCCCTTTTTCACTCTTTTAGAATTATTTGCCGATTCAGGCTTTTGTCTTTTTGGCCAATTTTGATATTTGTGTTTTCCTAGATACTTTATTATTTTTGCTTAGGTTTTCAGATTATGAGTATAAAGTTGCACATGAAATTTTCTTATGACTATGTTTTGATAAAGAAAAATATGGAGAGATACATTAGAAATGTAATGGTGGTTTTCTGTGGGAAGTGGCGGTGCAATGGAAACAGGGAATAATAGTCTTTAAAAACTTTGTATCCTTGGGCAACAGGAGAATTTTCAAATAACGGACTTGCTTTACTTTCATAAAAAAGAAGTGTTAGTTCGAACTTTGAATATGAAAACATACAGAATATTGTACAGAAGTGTATTTATGGTACTCATCCCAGGACATCTCACCTGTGTTTTCTTCTCAAGCTGGGCTCTGGACTGTCTTCACCCTGGGCGGTGTGGGCAGCAAGGCGGCCGCCCCTCCCGCACTGTCTTCCCCCCTGGCCAACCAGAGTCTCCTGCTTCTGCTGGTGCTGGCCAACCTGACAGATGCTGCAGACGCGCCCAACCCCTACAGACAGGCCATCATGTCCTTTAAGAATACGCAAGGTTGGTGCTATTTATTTTTTTCTCTGAATATTCTTTGTAGTGAGGAAAGAGGTATTGTTTACCCCGTATTGTTTATTTCAGTAGTTGCGGAGATGACTGTTCATTGTATTTTCATATCGATTAATGAGAACAACTTAGATGTTCCTGCCTATATTCTAAGAAAGGTCAGATAAATCTTAGATGAGGGCTGTGCTTCCTTATATCCATTTAAATTCCCATTTCTTTCAGAGATAACCAAGCTTAGCACCCATCTATCCTACCTGTTAGGGATAGCAATTAACCTGAAAGAAACTCTAAATGATAGGTCGTTTGCAATTTTTCATTCAAAGTCTATTTCAAGTTTTATTGAACTAACAATTGGAACAGAACGGAACAAACTCTTTCTGCAAAGGGGCAGATGGCTTTGCATGGCCACGTGGTCTCTGTCACCACCTCTTAACTCTGCCGTTATAGCACAAGGCATAGAGAACACATCAGTGAGGGAGCATGGCTGGTTCCAATAAAAGTCTGTTCCCAAAACAGGTGATGGGCTGCAGTTTGCCAAACTGTGAGGTAGAACAGAAGTAGATAGTTCTGTGTAGACACAGTACTCTCATCAAAGGGTTATACTCGGCAAGCAATATTAATATGCTAGGCTAGGTTGTCAACAAGTATCCCAACTCGAACGTAATTAAGATGGGTAAAAATTACAGTTATTGCATGGGGAGTTTTAAGGCTTCTGAGGCACTTCCCCATGTTGCTTTTCAGAGCTGCTCTAATATATGTTTCTCATAGACAGTGGGTGAGGGTGCCAGTCAGTGGTGGCTTTGCTAACTCTGGTGTGATTCTTCACAGGGAGCGGGAAGTCTCTAGTAATTTGACAGGTAAAAAGTGAAAGCTCACTTATCCAACAGTACTTTCTATTGCCACACTGTACTCTTGCTGACAGTGTGGCTTAATGGTTCAGGAAGCGAGTTTTGGAGTCAGGCGGGTCTGACTTCACGCCATGTACGGCTGTCACTGCAGGTCAGCGAGGTCTCTCACAGTCTGGGTGATCGCAATAATCCTCAGTGGCTTTGTAAAATGGAGATGGTATCACTAACAGTATTTGTATAAGCACCAAGCACCTAAGATTTTTAAAGGGTTCGCTCAGACTTTGCAACAAAGCAGAGTTCATTATGTGTGTCTACTATTGTTACTTTTGTTGCCTCTCTGGGCAAATGTTACTGTTTAAAGTTGAACCTCCCTGAGATAGTCATCTCTTCCAAGGCTGTGTGGCACATTGATTCCAGACATTGGCTTTAGAGTTAGGCTGACCTGAGTTCATATCCCAGTTTTTATTTATTATTTTTTAAAAGTTTTGTAGTGTTGTTCAGTTACAGTTGGTCCCCATTTCCCCCGTTGCTTTCCCCTGCCCTCCACCTCTCCCACCCAGTTTTTTATTTTTTAAATACCAGTTAATTTGTGAAGTAGGGATTATGATCTCTACTGCTCACGGTTCTTTATAAGATTGAAATGAGCATCTGTTATAGAACCGACTCCCTGAATTATTGCTATATTTAAAGAAGCAGTGTTATGCAGTGAAAACAATAGAGGCTGATCTTGGAAAAGGTACGTGACGTCCCCGAACCTCTACTTCACCCTTCGTGAAACTGGTCGGCAGTGACATGGTCATTGATGGATTTAATAAGGGATGATACACATAGTCATTGGAAAGCTGTTGAGATAGTACGGAGACCTACTCTTCGCAAATTTCTGTTACACAGCACAGTGTTGCCAACTCTGTCACCATGTTTTACATTAGCTTAGTTCTATTTTGAGTAAAACTATAAATGTAAATTGGAATTTCGAATCTGAAATGGAGCAACTTAGATAAAAATTAATGGGAACTGAATTATATAGATGAGTAGGACTTTCATTACTTATATAAGACACAGTCTAGAAAGTAATGATGTACAATGAAAAATGTCTCTGTTTTCTATATTCCAGATAACAGCCCTTTCCCCTCGTCAGTCCCACATGCTTTCCAGATTAATTTTAACAGTTTGTACACAGCTCTCTGTGAACAGCAGACCTCTGACCAAGCGACCCTCCTTTTGTACACTTTGCTCCATCAGAATAGTAATATTAGAACATACATGCTGGCTCGTACAGATATGGAAAATCTTGTAAGTATCGTGCTAAACATTTCATGCTTTTTTTATTTTTAATATTTTGATGAAGAATTTTCTTTCCCTGGAGGGAAGGTGTATTTGCTTGGTTGCCACAGAGGCGATGGTTGAGCAGTGACGGGGAGATGTCACCAGACACAGAGGTCTGAGTTTGACCACGTGGGAGACACAGCACGTAGACACGGCATCAGAGTGGGAGAACACAGCAGCATGGCCAGCGTCCCTGTCCTTTAGGCCCGTGACAGCCACCCACTGCTGGCAGCAAAAGGAATGTCCCCTCTGCACCATTTTTTTCAGGTTGATATCAGGATTCACGAGATATTTGGTAGCCTTTTTCAGTGTTCAACATCATACACTGAGTGATATGGGATGTTAAAATTCATTTGAAGAGGGTACAATTCATTTCCCATGTCAAAGTGACAGTAAGGACAAAAACAGCGAGAGAACCTGTCTCCATACCTGCCGTGTGTGGAAAACACTGGCTTCCACAGCAAAACTGGGTGTACCAGGGAACCGCTGGTGGGAGTGAAAACCTGTAACCAGAGGCCTGCTCACCGGGGGGTGGGCATGAGCACAGAGACAAATCTTAACATGAGTTACCCTCAGGGAAATGATAGCAATGAGCAGAAAGCACGTGACATCACCTGTTCTGGAAAGTTCCGTGGTAGGATGTTGGTATGTACGAGGATGCAGAGGGCAGGTGTCTGTATATGATACACAGTGAAAAGTTCCAAGGTTTTGGTTTTGCTTGGGGTTTCCTTATTTGTTTTGGGATTTTTGTTTTTAAATGTCTTGCATGGATTACTTTGATAATGTCTCACTGATGTCTCTTTATCTGTCCTTTTTCCTTCTGTAATAAATATTTATCGAAGCTATGATTAGAAAATACGCTATGGATGGAAAGTTGATTGGGCTGATCTGATCTTGTCGTTGTTAATGATTCTTTCACTTTGCAGTCTTTGCTATTAAGAAGGTCATGTTTGACACAGGACAGGGTTCCTAAGAGTATTTGAGTGTGTGTAGGTCTCTGCCAGGCCAGAGGCAGGGCTGCACCGCCCAGAGTCGGGTTGACCGAGAGCCCCGAGCCCGGCAGCCCGGCACAGGGGGAGGTGCTTTCCTCTGCCCGGGCCTTAGCTCTGCACACGGGAAGGAAGTACTTCCGGTCAGGCTGACTGGTGACTCTGAAGTTAAAGCAAAGGGTAGGCAGTGAAGGTATAAGGGTTGAAGACATTGGTCTCCTAATGAAGTAATAGAAGTAGTAAGTTACAATTTGTATTCCCTAGGTTTTACCAATTCTTGAGATCCTGTATCATGTTGAAGAAAGAAATTCCCACCACGTGTATATGGCACTTATAATATTGTTGATCCTTACAGAAGATGATGGCTTTAATAGGTCCATTCATGAAGTGGTAAGTTCCCATTACTTTGACTGCAGTTCCAGGATAGACTTGTCCCTCCACAAGATTTACTATGGCCTTAGTGTTTCTTGTTACTTTTCCTGCCAGCTGTTTCCACCAGCACCCAACTTAGAAATGGTTTGTGAACTGTTTATGAAGTGGTGGGGTTTTTTCCTGAATGACTATTAAGCACTATTAGAAACACTCTTAAAATGGTTTCTTTAGTAATTGAGGCAAATGTTTTTGCTGCCACTGGGTTCATTTTCCTTCTCCATTTCATTTCCACTTTTGGTTGAGGCAGAAATTGTCCAACAGGTTTGCTTCTTGTACACAGAACGCGTGAAAGAATGGGGAACAAAGGGAAGAAAACTAAACAATCAGTTTTATATTGATTTATGTTTTTATTGATTTTTAATGTTTTGTATTTTAAAAGAGAGCATAATATAATTTTACTCTTTAAATTGTAGTCCCGCTGGTGGGTTCCATTCTCAACCTGATTTTATCTTCCTTTTTGGTATTTTCTTTGTGTCAGAGTATATATGGACATGGTGTTAAAACTTATAGAGAGGTAGTAGGTTTTTTAAAATTTATTTTTCAATTATTGACATGTGATATATTAGTTTCAGGTGTGCAACATAGTGATTAAAACCTCACAAAGTGACCGCCACAATAAGACTGGAACCCCCAGCACCACATGTGGTTGTTACAACAGCATCGACTGTATTTCCTGTGCTGTGCTTTACATGCTGTGCCTATCTTTATAACTGGCAGTTTGTATGGAAGTACTAGGTGTTAGTGAAAAATAGCACACCCCGTGTCTCTCCTATTCCTAATTCCAGCTTCAGCTCTGCTCATGTTCATAAATGCGTATGTTGTGTTTCTGAATCTTCCACATTTAGACATTAACTATTCCCAAGGTGGAAGATGTTATCGGCTCTTTTCCCGCACAGAGATGTGTTCTCTCTGGATTCCCAGCACCTCACCTCCCTGCCCCAGCTCAGAGACTCTCTCTTCCTCCCTCCAACCCCCAGCACTTCAGCCCAACTGAGAATCCCCTATAAATCTGTTACAGCATTCACCTATTTTCTCAGTCCTCCTTTCTTCTTTGAGTCCTCTCTTAGTCCCCACGGAAGGCTTTCCTCAAATGCCTGGTGATCCTTGCTTACCTGTTCGTATTTAGGAGGGAGGCACCTGCTCTGTGTAGTCGATTTCCCTGGGCACCCCACTCTCTGTGGCCTCTCCTTCCCAGCTGATCCGTGTCTCAGAGGGGACTGTTCCAGTCTCCTTGATGTCGGGGGTAGTGAGAGATGGCGCTGGGGGTTTCACTCTTCATGGGGTGCAAACATTTTCTTCTAGCCACAGTGGGGCTTTTGTGTCATCTTACCTTTGTCTGACGTTCCATTCAGACTTTTTTTTTTTTGCCTCCGATATAGTGTGACTGTCATTTCAACTAAGATTTAAGGAATCTTGATACTATAGAAAGAGGATAAAACATACAAATTTCTTGATTCTTGTCTTTAAAGTTCCACCAAAGAGAAAATCTTTGCACTGGTTTACTCAGAATTTTAATATAACATTTACTTCTCTTTTGATAAAGAATAAAAAAACCTGTATGATTTTTTAAAACATTTAAAAATTGAAGTGTAAAATAGGAAGTGTGCACATTTCAAAGCTGTAACATAGGAGTTTTTGCATATGGATGCACATACCTACGTCACTGCCTCCCAGATAAGTCATGGAGCATCTCTCGCACACAGAAGGCTCCCTGTGCCCTTCGCTGGTCCAGACCCCGCGCCCGCGGGTTCACTGCTGCTCTGGCCTCCCTCCGCCAGATCAGCGTTCGCCTCTCCTTGGTTTACAGTGCATTCCCTTACACTAGTTTCCTTACTCAGCACAGTGTCTCTGAAATACACCAGTGGTATTAAGTCATTAGTTGGGTCTTTATTACTATGTGCTACTCCATTGTGTGAATATACCACGGTGTATTTATCCAATCTCTTACTGGTGGATTTTGGCTTTTTTTACAGTTTGGGGCTATTTTTGATAAAGCCGATGCACACTTTTGGGCATGTATTTCAGCGAGCATATGCCCTCGTTCTCTTGAGTATATTCCTAGGAGTAGGGTTGCTCTGTCACAAGATAGGTATGTGTTTAGCTTTAAGAGCTCCTAGTTAAATAAACTGTAGCTGTGAGTACCCTACCCCTCAGCAATTTCACTCCCCGTTTATCTAGGAAGACCTTGTGATTTGCACAGAGAGGCTGTGCGCTTTACTTGTTACCAGCAGCGCTACTTATAACCCCGAAAATATTTACACCGTGCAGAGTGAGACAGGCAGGGTGCTGACTGCACGTGGAGAGGAAGAAAGGCGGGTGAACAACACCCTGCGGCTCCACCAGGTCTGTGGGGTTTCATCAGCAGGGGCAGCAGCAGCAACAAAACAAGCAGCCACACGGAAAACTTGCACTAGTCACGAATAAATGGAAATGCTTAAAATTTTACATTTTTTACTTTTCAAGCGATAGCCAACTACCGTTGAGAGGACTTTTGCCACATGCCAGTCTCCAAGTTAAGCCTGCAGAACAGGGCAGGGGCGGGTCCTTTGGAATGGGGGGCCAGGTGACCCGAGTTGACCTGAGCAGAAGTTTACTGTGGAGGCGCCACCTGCCCTTGCACGCAGCTGCACACACTGCTCCTTCGTCATTCTCGCCTGTTCCCGTGTCCCCCGCCTCCTTCCCAGGGTCCTCGGGGACTTGGGGGGTTGGCAGAATTACTAGAGAGCATCTATTTCCATTGGTCTTTTGAAGATCTATGGTGCAACTATAGTATTTAGAGTTCATTATATTTTTATGGATTATAATTGTGGTTTTGGGGGTTTTTTGTTTGTTTTTTGGTAGTCCATAGTTTCCTTCTCCTGAATTTTTCTGGCCATTAGTTTCTGTTGTGGCTACGGTGGCAGGGAAGGACAGCCAAGCACTCCCCCTAGAATTGGTGCGTGGGTGGTTTGTGCTGAGTCTTTGCATATTTTGGGCTTTTATTTTTCTAGGAGTAGAAGTCTAGAGCCGTAATCTATTCCTTAAAACTTGATGGGCATCGTTCTCTTGTCCTTCAGGTGCATGGCATTCACGATGAGAAGCTACGTAATGTTCAAATGCTTCTCTCTCTTTTTGGTGAAAGCATATTTCTTCTTTCTGGAAGCCAATAGGATTTTTTCATATGCTGTGAATTCAGAAATTTTACCACAATATACTTTGGTTTTTTTCTTCAATATTTCTGCTAAGAATATTGAAAGTTTTTCTTTCCCTCAAAGAAATTTTCCCGTTACTATTTTTTCCTCTTATTTTTAGTCTGTCCCTTTTGTTAAGTAGATATTAGATATCTACTTTTCTCTTATACTTTGTCTTTTTGCTTTTTATTGCTGTTATCTAAGAGAAATTCTAAATTTAATCTGCCAAACCATGAATTCAGTTTTCTGTAACGCCCATCCTAATTCTCTCCACCATATTTTTAATTTTTCTCAGCTTTTCTTCATTTTGTGATTCTCCTTATTCCTAGTAGCTTGTTCTTATTTTATGGATGAAGTATTCTGTCAAATCTTATCAAATATACTAAATAGAATTAACATTTTTTCAGATTCTTAAATTATTTGTTTAATTAGGGGGTCTATTTGTTCCATGTGTTCAGTTTCAAATTATTATTTACTTGGTAAACTTTTTATCATGAACACATTAAATGTTAATTAGAAAAAAATAGTATTATGAGTCACCATGGACTCATCATAAACACTGTTCTGTTTTTATTTTATCTTCCTACCCTGCCCTCACTGCCTTTTTATATTTTGGCTAAAATCTCTTTGAGATTTTAATATTTAATTAGAACTAATACTTAATTTATTTTCTCCAATTATCTTTAAGATGTCATTTTGAGTTGGTTGGTTCAAATTGGTTTCCGAAGTCCATTTACTGTATTTAGTTCCGAAGACTCTTTTTCATCTGTGATTGTCTCTCCCTTTCCCACCTTTTCTGTACCATTTATTTGTTGTAGAAACTGGGTTGTTTACTCCATTTACAGCCAAATGTTTTCTCCATTTGGCTTTGGCTGATTATATCATCAGGTTATTGAACATGTACTTTAGTTCTCGGTATTTCATATACATCAGTGATTAGAGCAGAGGCTTGATTTGATGTAGCGTAGCTCTCTTTTAGACTGATTCTTTCTACCTCCCTTGTGGCTTATTGTTGTCCCCTTCACAGTTATCACTGAAAGGCTAGACTCATTTCTTTAGAAAGGTGGTGGGACCTCCCTCACGGGTGTGATGAGTGGTGGGGGTCTGCTGTGCTCTGCAAAGGGTGTGTCCTCTTAGTGGAGAAGGCGGGAGTCAGCCCAAGAAGTCTTTCTTCGTAGGTGGGGAAGTACAGGCACATTAACTCCCTGAATCAAGGAGAAAGGGAGTGGCAGTGTCTTAGAAGGAGACATCAGGGAGTTCCATTGCTCAGCTGAGCCTGTGGGTTTTGCTGCATTTTCCTCCCTTGTGTGGCAGCCCAGGACTGGCTGCCGTGCTGCCCACTTTTTTGCATCTCTCTCTCTGACGCCCTTGTCGCAGACTTACGGTGGAGCTGTGTCAGCTCAAGTGAGAAGACAGTTCTGCCCACTGAGCCCTGGGGGGAGCTGCCTGCTCCGAGTGGTCAGAAGGGAACACAGGCACGTCTTTTCTTGAAGATCTTGGCCGTTCGCATTCTTGGCCTTTTCCTGAATGCAGCGGCGGAGGCTTTGTGTGGCTGTTGGAGCAGCTCCACTTTTCAAGAAGCTCCGTGGTTTCCTTATATTTGCTTTCAGACTGCTGATGGTCTTTGCTGTCACTCTTTTCCTATGTGCCATACCTCCCTTCTGTCTGCTAACGATTCCTCCTCTGTTTAGACCTGCTTTTTCTCTTTAGTATTTAAGAAGGACGGAGAAGTCAGCACAGCCACAGTTTGGCTATCGTGAACTGAAGGTCTCACAGTTCACTTTCACGTACTGGTAACTCGTAGTGTGGCTACGGCTTACGCGAAGTCAGAGACACGGATGGTCCTTTTTTCCCATATCAGTTATGTTTACTTACACTTATCTTCCCCATTACAGATACTAAAAAATATTACTTGGTATTCAGAACGGGTTTTAACAGAAATTTCACTGGGGAGTCTCCTGATACTGGTCGTAATAAGAACCATTCAGTACAACATGACAAGGACAAGAGTAAGTATTCCACTACTACTTTGTTATCTTTATGCATACAGTATGATTAAGACTGTAGTTTCACGCAGTCTCAATATTTCGAGGGCCAACATTCTCATGAAATACGGTAGAAAAATACAGATCAGCATACAGTCACTGTATTATATAATCCTAAGGTACTGCATATAGTATCTGTTTCTTAATATTTAATAGAGTGTATGATTAGAGAAATTTTCATGAAATTGAAACAGGCCATGGAGCACATTTAGGTGAAAGTTGCTGTCTTCTGTGCTGGACCAATAACACGGATTTGCCTGTTAAGAGCAACAGCAGACTTAGAAGATAAGAGCACAAGAAAAAATGAATTCAGTTGGGAAAGCAAGTACTTTAAAGAGTAAAAGAAAAATTTCAACTGGACTGTATTTGCGATAGTACCTGGGGGCAAATTTCAGTTCCAGTCTATAGAGAAGCTGTATACAGAGTTGATAACTCAGAGCAGCAGTCAAGTTCACCGCCCTGTCTTCAGTCATTTCCTTCTGCAGGGCTAATGCAGATACCTGTCCACAGTCTTTCATTTGAAACCCTAGGCACCAGATGTGCTTTTGAATGGAGACTGTTTTGATTTTAGAAAGGTAATTATAGTGCATACACTTACACTGTATGTAACCATTAGGTTCTGGAGCAGCACACTGTAATTAAACATTAATATTTCTGCAGCGAAATACTTCAGTATTCACCAGGGCAGGGATAATGAAGGCCATAAATAGCATCATACTCTTTTATGCCAGATGTTGCTTCCAAATGGGTGGTAAAAAACCTTTGAACTTTCAGGGCTCTATCGACTTTCGGAATCAGAGAAAAGGGACCTGAGCTTTCAAAAATCAATGACAATCGAGTTTACATTTGCTTCTAATTAACCTTGTTTAAAATGTAGAGGAGACCTGATGAACACTTTGAACTCTCTGTTCTCTGACAGGACAAGTACCTCCACACCAACTGCTTGGCTGCTCTGGCGAACATGTCGGCGCAGTTCCGCTCTCTCCACCAGTACGCGGCCCAGAGGATCATCAGGTAAATGAGAGCTTGAAAAGAGACCTTGCCTTTTGCTTCTGACTGGCCCATTGAAAAAGATACCACAGTGGTCCCTTTTAAAGACTATCTGCAAGGAGTACCAAAGTTTCCCACTTAATTTGTATCACCTTGTTTGGTTGAAAAGGTCTTGTTCTCCTTTGTTTTCTAGCCGAACTTTTCAGTCAAAAGTAATTGTATTTTCTTTCAATATTTTTATAGATCTGGTTTTAAGCTTTGCACATTAGATTTTTACAGAGGAACAGGTATATTTCTTAGAAATACAACCTAAGTTTTAATTAACATATTTGTTGAGCATTTTATAGAACATTGTACTACCCTTCCGAGGAGTTACCTGTGTTTGTTTTGGAGGATTCTTTTTATAGCATATTAGTTATACTGTATTAGTTTTTGTATTGTATTAGTTTCTTTTTGTACCATATTAGTTTTCTGTTGCTGCCACAAGTTAGTGACTTAAAAGAACACATGTATTAATGTAGTTCTGTAGGTTAGAGGTTCAGCAGGGGTCTCACCTGGCTAATATCAAGGAATCAGCAGGCTGCTACCCTTTCTGGGCGCTCTGGAGAGAATCCGTGTCCCCGCCTTTTCCAGCTGCTGGAAGCTGGCTGCGTTTCTTGGCTCACGGCCCCTTCCTCCGTTTCCCAAGCCAGCAACAGCAGGTTGCTGCATCCTCCTCACGCCTCCTCTTCCCCTTCCCTCTTCTACTTTGAGGATCCTTGTGATTGCCTTGGCCCTACACAAATAATCCATGCCAACAGACCCATCTCAAGGTCCTGAACTGAATCATGACTGCAGAGCCCCTCTGCCCTGTAAGGTGACACAGTCACAGGTCTAGGGCATTAGGATGTAGATCTGTTGGGGGGAGCCCTTTTTCTCTCTGCCACAATATCACCAGAAATTCCTCCGTCTCCCCTCCCTCTTGGCCAAAGACATGCTCTTTATGGGTGGGAAAGCTGATTAACAAGTGATGAATGAGTATCTTTTGCAGAGATTTGTAACGTATGTGGGCACTTTTTGATCTTCAGGTAGCACGCTCAGTATGGTACTGGTGGCTCTCAAGTAGGACGTTGGTTAGATGTCCATCGAGTCAGATTGTTTCCTTCAGTCTTGCTTTTTGGGCAGTGCCGTTTTGGTGACCAGTTCTTATGTTCCGGTCATTGGTGGTGATCACAACTCACATTACTTTAAACTCTAATCTTACCCTTTGTTGCCTGGTTAGAGACATTTATTGACCCAGGCTCATTCTTAGTAGTAACTCAGAATTAACTTACAGTCTTTGTCTGTTTATTTGTACTCAGAAGATAGCAGAGAATATTTTTTGCTAAATTAAACTAAAAGAATTCAACATAATGTGTTAAGACATTATAATACTTTATAATGCATTGAACCATTATAATAGATTAATAATAATTAACATGCAATCTCAGCCTGGGGTTTGAACTTAGGAGACCGTTCACTGGAGTGACTGCGGACCAGTGCTGTCTTCTTCATCGGAATAGACGCAGTGTCTCCTCACACCCAGATCTCCCAGATGTTTCTAAAAATCACCCTTTGTCACCGTGCTTTAGTTCTGCGTGACAGAGTTAATGACACCTGTGCTGCTTTGTGGCCTGTTTTACTTTGCGTGTATGTGGAGTTTTATAATGGTTTTCTGAAGATTTCATTATAAATTAATTTTCCTCAACTGATTTGTGAACATTTGGCCTGGTCCATATGAACGTGCCACGTGAACTGGTTCAGAACATAAGTTCTTATAAAATGTTTCAAGCAAGATTAAATAAAAATTTTCTAGGTATAAGAATTGGGAAAAAATGCAAATAAAGCACTGTGCGCAGTTCTGCATGCGTGATGCTGAAAGTCGAAAACCAGTTGTACTTGGAGAAACAAGCGTAGTTTAGATTTCTGATTTGGGAATATTTTGATCACATCAATAAGGAGTAGTGCTTTACTTCATTTTAACAGAGCTTTATTTAATATTATATTAATAAGGAACTGTGTTAAACAGGAAGTATCAAAATTACTTACAACAATGTCTGCCCTCAAGTAGCTTATACTTCAGCAGCAGAGATGTGACAAGGCCAAGCATGCAGAATGTCCAGCAGAATGTCAGACATATTGGAAAGACCTCCGGTGGGGAGGGCGAGTGGTCGGTTCAGAGAACAGTGAGCTCCCATCTAACCGAGAAACCGGGCGAGGTAGGTAGAGGAGGCTGTAGGGGCCAGCCTGGGGGAGGAAGGCATCCACCACGACCCACCGAAGCAGACAGGAGGGGCTGTGGTGAGAGAGCAGGGTTTCATTTAGAACCTAACCCATCCAGTCGGCGTGTCGCGGGTCTGTGCAGGATCCCAGGAGAGACACCGTAACGAGCCAGCTGGGCCTTCTCTTGGAAGGGCCTTCACTCTCAGAGCCACAGTTTAGGACAATACAGCAGCAGGGGAAAGATGGTCTGCACAAAAGAAAATGTGAATGAATGACTTGTAAATGGGTTTTAAAAGAAATAATTTAATGGAAATGCCCAGTCATCAATTTCAGCAGAGGGGATATGAGCATGCTCTGTTTGTCACGCTGAGGGATGTGCAGTTCTGACAGGTCCCCGGGTGCTGCCAGTGCCTCTGGGCCAGGGGCACAGTTGAGTAGCCAGTGTGGACCAGAGTGTCCCCATCATCCAGGAGGGTGATTTCTCGTTAGAAATGCAGAGGGTCGGCCCAGCTTCACGAAACCTGCTGCACCCAAGTCTTCATTTTAACAAGATCCCCAAATGATTTGTGTACACATTGAGGGTTTGGAAGCACTTTGAATTCGGGCCTGAGAACTAAGATTTATTCCCTTAGAAAACATTTGTCTCAAATTGGAAATGGGGCCCAGCTCTTTTGTATCTTGAGGGAACTCATTTTATAGTCTGCGTCTAGGGTATGGAATTGTAAAGGATGATAAGGAATGCATAGCAGACACCGTTCAGATGCACAGAAGATTTATGACAGCTGTCCGACTCAGGGTTCGCCGGGTGCTTTGGTGGCTCCTTCAAGTGGTCAGCTCTCAGGTGCATGTTTTCCAGACCCTCTTCGGGAGGAGACCCACCCGGTCTGGTATCTGTCACTTGCAAAACCACGTGATCTTTAACAGTGCAAAACAGAGTGACATATTTCATTGCTACGAAAATAGGATATGAATAAAGCTTTTAAAAACCTCCTTAGCTAGACATAAGTGTAAGGAATGATTTCATATGGTGTCTGAGCTACTGTTTCATATTTAATGACAACATGTCTTCCACTAACTTGGTATTCCAGAAAAGTCACAAACATGATTTCAGTATTTCTCATCTATGAAGAATTTGAATATGCTGTAAGCATGGATATTTGAAGTCATTGTTTGAGACTAGGCCTATTAATTCAATTAAAAGCACTTATAAGAAGTAGACTGTATGTGGGGGATTTGTGTGCATTACGGGGATATCATTATTTCCTGCCCTTGGGGCTCCTCCTATTGCCTCTCCTGTTCTCCTCACACCAGCTCCTTCCTCTGGCTCCTCCCTCACATTCGGCTTGACAGATCCTAGATGGTTTTCTTTACCCTAAATGGTTTCTTGTCTTTCTGCCCCTTTTCTCTGGGAGTTCCCATATATGCCTATAACTTCACCTGGTTTGCACTTGTGTATGGGAAACCGCCTACATCTACGCTTATAATCCTGATCCTTCTCTTTGTTTTTGGAGGCAGGTGGTATGGAATAGTTATTCAGAGCAGAGACTAAGTTTGGGATACCAGCTTTAAAACATACTAGCCGTGGCATCTTAGAGCAGTTACTTTACAAACTCTGTGCAGCAGTTTTCCCCTCTGTGAGGCTGGTGACTGTGGCTGCTTCTTACCTGAATGGGTGTGGTGAGGAGCGAGCGAGTTAATGCTTGTGAAGGGCCTGGCACAAAATGTGCATTAAAATGCTGGCTAGCCGGACCCAGTCTCTGATAGCCTCACTACCTGGGTGCCCCACACTTGCCTCACGCTTTTATTCTGTTTAAGACTGTACTCATTTTTAAACCTGGTCTTCTGTTTAAATTTCCTCTCTTAAGTAGTGGCCAGTTTTACTGCAGCCACCTAAATTGCCAGGCCGGAAACCAAGTACTCTTCTGCCATTTCTACTTTCTCCTCAATTCCGTGTCTGACTGTGCCCAGGGATTCTCTCTAACGCTACCATTGTAACTTGCGTTCATACTGTCTTCTCTGTCTCTCCTGTTGCGGCCTTGGTTCACGTCACCTAAACTGTGCCATTTGTCTCTCTGGCCCTTTTGCCTCCCTACGTGGCCCTCCACAGTTGACCTCCACACTGTCGCATTCTTCTGGAAAGCATACCTGATCTTATTACTCCTTATGCTTAAAATCATTCAGTGGCTTCCCTTTGCCAGCAGGTTAAAATTCAACCTGCTCAGAGCAGGAGCTCTCGGCTGTGGTGCTTTTGCCTCTAGAGGGCGTTGGCGATGTCGGGAGTAAGGTTTTTTGCATTGTTTTTGTTATTCCTGCAGCAGGGGAGGAGGTTGCTGGAGACTTCTAGGACGTAGAGGGCAGTGACGTTCCTAGATATCCTACAACGCCCAGGACAGCAAAGTGGCCAGCGCAGAGTGTCAGTGGTGCTGAGGCGGGGAACTGGCCTTTGAGCAGCAAGCTCTGGGCCCCGCCCTCCGCTCTCATCTGCAGTCACTACTTGCCTTGCCTCCGTCCTGACTGCACTGCCGCAGCTCCGGGCCCTTGCAGCCTGCACTCCTGTGTCCGGATAGATGTGGTCTGGAGTTAGAAAAAGGCTGAGCCAGTACCTCTTCCTTTGTAGGGTTTGCCTACCAATTTCCACCTCTCTGTTCTGTTTTGTCACGAACCAGCCAGTGGTCCAGCCGCCCACCCCCAGCTCCTAGGCCCTCTGACTTGAGACCCGGCTGCTGCCAGCACAGTCACATCATGTTTTCCTACTCAGACCAGGAGGAGAAAGAACCCAGTGG